AGTCTACGAGTCTGACGGCGTTGTGAATCGAAGGGTCGGGGCAAAGGTTGAAGAGGGCGGATCAAGGGTTTCAGAGTGACTATAGTTGACTACGGATTACTACAAGTGACTATGGGTTATTACGGATATATATATTAAGAGTTGTCTATGTATTACTACACGTGACTATGGGTTACTATAGTTGTCTACGGGTTACTACAAGTGACTATGAGTTATATATATATATATATATATATATATATATATATATATATATATATATATATATATATATATATATATGTGTGTGTGTGTGTGTGTGTGTGTGTTGTGAAGTTGAAGTTGGATATATGACTTGGATGACTCTATATTATGATTCATATTCTGCATTTATCGATAAAAAAAAAACAAATAAATAATAGTTAAAAATGTATAAAGCAAATTAAAAAGATATGAATTATTAATTTTCAGTATGAGACTATGAAAAAAATACGAAAAAGAAAAAAACTGAGAAATGCGTTATACGTCAAAAACATTATAACAAAAATGTTAGATACAAAAATGAAAATGTTATATGTAAATTAAAAAACGATAAAAGCAGTTTTAAATATTAATTGGTGCAGATTTCATATTTTATATATGGAGGGCATTTTTGGAATGAACTTTGTAAAGGATGTGAAGCAAATGTTTATTCGAACTTGTTATTTAGTTATAATAAGTTTTGTCCTTATATCTTAAGCCCCCTAAGAAATATGTCTAGAAATAAGAAAAAATAGTTGTGCATGACTAAGATTGATTATAAATATTGAGGCTAAATAAATTCTTGTATTTTATTTACTATCATTATTAATGCATTTTATTAGTATAAGTGATAACATGATTTGACCATAGTCAATTATGTTAAAAAAAACATAAATCATAATAAGTAAATTAATGATAATGTATATTACTTATTTTTGGTAATATAATTTTAATGTCAATGACATGTTAGTATACTAGAAAATATGGTAAAAGTTGTATTTTCTCTTGTTATTGTCATTATTTTTATACATTAAATTTCAATAATATTTTTTCTTTAAAGGTATATTTCAAGAATTTTTCAATGATCATAATATCACAAGTATGTATATAAATAATTAATCACATAAAAATGGCTTTTCATTTTTAAATTGAGGGCTTCACGTTCAATGTATTTTTAATTATTTTAGATGTAATAATTAGGCTTATTAAAAAGGGACCTTTAGCAATAAACCCCTTTGATGAATAATAAATGGTGATATGTCCAATCCTTAAATCTTCCTTTGTGATAACCCCTAGAAATTTTAATTCTAATACTACCCTTCAGAAATTATAAAATCTCCTACCCAATAATTCCTCCCACCTTCCTTAATAATGCCAATATAATTGGGATATTTCCCCACTCAATATCCCAGCTCCGCGTGTGTGTGTGTGTGTGTCTATATATATATATATATATATATATATATATATGTATATCTAATAATTTTTATAAATTCTTTTTAAACGAAAAATTGAATTTTTCTCCTGATAATTTTACTACGCCGAATACGACTATAGTTGAATATGACTATAGTCTAATATGTCTATATGTGTTTATACCAATTGTAGTCATATTCTTTCTTTATATTGTCGTTTTTATATTTTCAACTTAATAGTTCCGATTATATAGTATAGTACAGTCATTTTTACCAAATTATATAAAAAACGAAAATTGCACGAAAACAATCCAATCAACATCTATAAAATAAATACATTTTGAATCTTATTATTACAAATCAGCTTGAATGAGAAGATATAACATATTCGAATATGACTACAGTCGCATCCAACAATAGTCATATTCGAATATGACTATAGTCATGTTACTGTTATTTTTTTATGGGATATAGTTTTTTGGAATGCTCGGGGATGTCCTTGTTAATTCCTCTTGAAAACTGTGCGGAAAATTCCATCAAAATTGCAGCAACAAGAAGCAAATCTATATGAACCAAACTCAAAGTCATAAAACAAATGGCAATGAGAAAAATGAAAAAAAATGTAGATGATAAACATTCATTCACATAAACATATTATTACATACAAAAAAAAAAATCATTTCCTTCGGAATTCTCAACATTCTTGATGTTGCTCAAATTCTTTTTGTAAAGATTAAGGTAAAAAAAATTGAGATACCTGCTAAATTCGTAATTGCATTCGACAACGCCGAAAACAACGAAACACCTTTCCCTTCACCCGATATATCCTCTCCTAGAAGCAACTTTGCAAACTTCTCCTTCATCAATTACATATCTATATTATCGCCACCAAAACAAACAAAACATAATCGAAAAGGCCGTTTTTACGACCAGAATTCAAGAAAAAAAGAAAAAATAACGAAACATCGAAAATAATTATAAACAAACTTGCATGAATGCCTATCTTTTGAAAGAGGGCTGGGAGTACTTGAATTATTATTTGCAGAATCCATTCTTTAGCTGATATAGCGAGGTTTTCAATTTTTCGATGTTATCCAATCATATTTTGCGTACTATTATATTCCATTTCCGTTCGAAATGCCCCAGCCCCAATTAAATTACCATATTAATTACCTCTTCCTCCACCACAAGGGCTCAGCCACCATTTATCTAACCTTGTTACTATCCAATAATTCAGAGAAATCACCAATTATTAGAGATTACAACTCGAAAGAAAATCTGAAATTCATAGAAGTAGAGAAAACACCAATTTTCCAGATTTGTATAGTGTGGTAAGTCATGTTTACCAAATTATATAAAACAACCAAGATTCCATATTGTTTACGAAAACAATCCAATCAACATCCACACAAAAAAACATAATTTGAAACGAGAAGATAGAACATGTTCTAATATGACTACAATCACATTCAACAATAGTCATATTCGAACATGACTATAGTCATGTTTAATCTGAAACTCTATGTTCAGATCTGGAGAAAGATAAATAAATAAAATTTATCTCTTTTCCCTTTCAATTTCAATTGCAACTTGAAATCAAACTCATTTGCAGAAAATAAAAGCAAAAGGAGAAGAAATTAAACACATGACACCACATGGCTGATTCTGCACATTTTCCAAAGTAGACTCGAATCTTGGCGGCAGTGGCGGCAGCGCCACCGGTGGAGGACTCAACAACTGCGGTTGCGCCCTCAGATCAGAATTTCGCCGCCGCCGCCTTCTCCATCGCCTCCTGCGTTGTCGCCGTTTCTCCACCGTTCATCGATTTGCATGCACTTGCCTAGCAATCGCACCTTCTACAGCCGCCATCGTCAGCCTCCCGTCGCCGACGCCGAGAGAGATCGAGAGGAGATAGATACGGAAATTGAGACAGAGAGAAAAGCGAATGTGGGTTTGATATTGATGGTAGGTTGGGAGAAGAATAACCATAAATAAAGAGAGACTGTGGGTTTGAGATCTAGGTTGGGATGTGTATTAAAAGGGTAAAATAGGGATAACATATTTTTAAGGGGGGGCTCACTAATTTAAATTGACATTTGGGTTTTGAAAAAAGTCTTTAAAGTCAATTGGGTTTACTGCAAAATATTTTTCATTTGAGGGGGGTATTGCATATTTCCCCTATTAAAACATTCATCTGTCATATATTAGAAGTCATTTTGGGTGGTTGAGCTCATATTAAGAAATCAATAAATATAAATAGATTATACAAAAAATAACATAATAAATACTAAAATGCCCTTGTCATTAATTATTTTTTAATTAATTAACTAATTGAGAGTGATAGGGCCAAAATTGATAAAAATACAATTAATGATTTATTGGGACTCTAAAAATGAATGATTTGGGGAACAAAAATCGAAAAGTCAACGCAGGAAACGGGCGGCAAAAAAATATTTTTAAAAAAAAAAAATGTTTTTTGAAAAAAAATGTCAAAATTGAATTTTTGTGGTCAAAATTGATTAAATTGATGTTACAATTAAGAATTTGGTGTAAATGGTTGGGGGTAATTTTGTCATATACATGAATTTTTCCTTTATATATAATAAATATTAAAGGGATGGTTATTGGTGAAACAAACAGATATAGCCCCTAAATCTAAAATAATAAAGATGGTTGGTTAGGGACTTATGCACAAAAACCGGTATACAATAAGAATATGACTCAGTATTGATCTTGCATCAATTCCTTCATTCATTGTTCAGGTTTTTCATTCCAACACTTGTTTACAAGCAAATATATTTATCTTCTCTGATTTGTCTTCAAAACTTATAAACACTAAAAAAAACATTGGAATTGCAAAGAAAAATGGAAGAATATATTGATCCTCTCCTCGCACAAAACGAAATTAAATCTTTATCGTTAGATCCAAAATGAGAGAGAAACCATTATTAATTATCGAACCAATCAACAGAATAAGAAGTAAACACACCAAGAATAGCACCAACATTAGCAAATATGGAGATCATTGCATATTCTCTGATGCCAAAAGAACCAGAATTCATTGAAAACTCCAAACCAAACATGGGATAGTAAACGGTCCTTGTCGGGATTAGCTTACCCATGATATAACCCAACGGATACAATACCACAAGAGTCGATGCCATTCCCATTATAAATTCGGCAGTCTGATTCAAGAAATATTTATTGAGAATTAATAGAAAAACGAATGATATTGAACCAAGAAGCATCACACGGAATGTCCACACAGGGGACTCGTCGTCTATCTCTTCAACCTGCTGACCTGGCACAGATGGCCGTGGTGGTTGTGGTGGTGGTGCCGCCACATCGGCTGTGGCTCTTCTTCTATGAGCTTCATGCATTTGGTTACACATGGCAGTTGTGGTGTATCTTCATTACCAAGGATAGTAGCTATGAAAATGGGAAAAATATAAAAAGAAAACAAGGGGAGAAATAAATTACAAATTTTACATGTAAAATATGTACGGTAGCCTAGTTCACCAGCGCCTATCTCGTATGTTTGAAAAGTTCCTTCTAAAAATAGAATAACAAACAAAAGAGAATACAAACATAAAACATTGTGCATATATATATAAACACGTGTATACGGTCAGTATATGAGCGATCTCCAATTGAAGCGGAGATCTATTATACAAAATAATCAAGTGGAATCATTGTTTTAAAGAAAGACGCAACTTAAACTATTTGCATAACAAATCACTGTTTGCATAAACCGCGCGACAAAAGGCAGATTTTACTTGTTCCTGATTGCCGATGGGGCCTCTAATACATACACTCTGCCATGAAAGTAGGAATAACATCTATCTTTACTGTATGTAAAACTGGTCGTGAGTAGAGTATTATTATAAGTGACATCTCTTGGCAGAGTAATGACATCCATCGTATACTTCCAAACCGGGCTGCCCAAGTTCGTCTTCTTTAAAACAACCACATCTCTTGCTCATTTTTCCCGTCAAAGCTATTTCTACTGGTCTTTGCACTAACCTTGGATACCCTTCGTCACACCATACCTGAATACAAAAACACTTTCACCTAAATTCTACTTCTTCAATAAATATCAACGGAAAATAACTATTAACCGAGGAAACTAAATTAGTCCTTTACATCTAATTTAACAAATATTGCACATTGACCCCAACTTTAACAAATATAGCATATTAACCCCCATTTTCAATTTTTTTTTTTGTTTCTTTTTTCTATCTAAGGAAGTCATATATTTATATATATATATATACCTCGGAACCCTCATCCTGGCTCCATCTAGAATTACAGCTGGCAACTTTGGCTTCTTCTTTCTTCTGTTTCTCAAGAAGCTGAGCACCTCTAGCTGCCTTTGATTCAACCCCTTTCAAGTATTTTGTGGGGTTTCCTTCACTGTCGTAATAACGACCAACTAACTTACCCACAAACCTGTAATTTATAAATCAATGTGTACACAAGATAAATCATTTTTTGTCATAATATAATATGGACCTGATGAATACAGTCACGATTAAATCAAGTGTGAAAGCAATATATCATTTATACAAAATGTATGATTTGGAACCATTTCAAATTTTAGGGAGTAGAAGGAACACTTGAAAGCATAGGGTAGATAGTGTGATAGCTAAAAGATGAGGGCTAAATAACAGGTCGTCCCCAATAATTTTAAAATTAAAAAATAATGCATTAATCACATACATGTATGTCTTGAAGTAGAAGTCTCGCCATTCAACGATGCTTTTCACCTAGAGATATTCATTACATACAAGGAACAATTCTAGTTACCGAAAAGAAAAATAAACCGGAAAAGAAGACAAGTGCAAGATACTATAATCCGATAAATTGGAAGAAGCAAAAAAAGGTTACCTCGGGGCTAGTCAAACCATGCAGGTTATCGGTAAGTCCTTCTCCTGCATAAACCAAATTAATTGATAAGACCAAATTAAGTTGCTCTCGTGGGGTAACTATGTTATGTGTATATCTATATATCAAGAGAAGAAGAAATAAAAGAAGGAAAGAGATTGAAATGGGAGGATGGAAGTATGTATATACCTGAAAAGTTTCCTGAAACAAACGCACGCGAGGCATCCCTAATGAAATTACCAACCAACCAACCAAAGGTCAATATGCAATAAAAACTGAAAGATATGTAATAAAGTGCAAGTCTTTGACAAAATAAATAAACAATAGCTTACAACATAAATAATGGAATAAATAAAGAGTGACAATTTGACAAACCTTCCAGAAAAATGGCTGTAGCCTCCTCCGACACCGTAATGACTTTTTCCTTTACTTACATCAAACACTGAGCTGAATTAAGCAGAATGTCAATTTCGGGTTTAAATTTAAATTCCAGGATTGAGGATTCACATTTTTTAATTCATCAACCGAAATGCAATTTACAAAACCATCTAATCTAATGTAATCTAATAGAAGGACAAAAGAACAAATTCAAAGCATTTCTTCAGTTTTAAAGAGAAAAATACTTGCTCTAAAAGTAAATCAAAAGCAAGTATCAAGCTCATAACTTTTCACAAATAAACTTGATTAACAAATTGATAACAATAATAAGTAGAAAAGAAGTAATAAATACCCGAGGATCCCAAGAAGAATAGGCAGCCCAGGATCCGTTCCATTGTAAAGAATTAGTTCATCCACACTGAATACTCTCTGCAAAAACAAATAATTAAGGTATGGAATTCATATTAATATTAATAATCAACAAAATACGAAAAGAAGAAGAAAAAGAATATACAGTGGGAGGAGAATGGGTGGGATATTTCAGAGGAATAATTTGAAAGAGAAAGAAAGAGAGAAGAGCTAGGCAAATTGGGATTCCTAGAAATCGAGACAAGCGCATCTTATTTTTCAGTTTGGCTGAAGAATCAATCGTTTGTTTTTCAGATTGGTTGGTTGGTTGGTTGGTTGGTGGAGTAGCACTAGCAGCATAAGATATTATTCAGCTTCACCCAAACTACAACTTTCAACGGCGTCGGGTTTTTAGCCTACTCCGGTCGTATTATATTAGGTTATAATTGGGATACAACTTAATAAATCATCCCTCGCGTCTATTTATTATTTGGTTTTTTCTCTTCTCTTTTGGGAGATTCTATGGGTAACTACCACTTTGCACCTTAAATTACTTTTTAGTTTTAGGGTTAAATACAAAAACACCCCTGTACTATGAACTTTGTATCATTTACCCCCTGTACTATACATCAATACAAAAACCCCCCTCACATTACATTTTTTCCAAAATATGACCAAAATACCCCTACTCAAGCATACACATACACATATATATATATATATATATATATATATATATATATATATATATATAATGGTTTGTTTGAGCCATTTTCGACTATATATTTTACCATTTTCAGTCAATTTTACGTGGAAAATTTTGGTATTTATATTTTTTTTCTCCAAAACATCCAATTGCTTATATTTTTTTTTTATTTTATGAATAAAAACTTTTATTTATGTCATTTTTAGTTTCTTCATTTTTTTTCTTAAATGTCTTCTTGTAGTTCAACCATCCTAAGATTACAAACATCTTTACAATCCTATAATTGTTGAGAATTTGAACTACCGTAAGATTTAACAAAAAAGGAAGAAATTCAAAATGACAAAAATAAAAGGTTTTATTCAGAAAATAAAAAAAAAAAAAAAAAAAAACTCTTAGTAATTAAATGTTTTGGAGAAAAAAATAAAAATATCAAAAATTTCCAATTAAAATTGACCGAAAATGTTAATAAATATAGTGGAAAATGGCTCAAACAAATATATTTATAGGCTTAACGGGGGTATTTTCGTCATATTTTGGAAAAAATGTAATGTGAGGGGGGTTTTTGTATTTTTGTGTAGTACAGAGGGGTATATGATACAAACTCCATAGTACAGGGGTGTTTTTGTATTTAACCCTTATTTTTATTTTGCACTCTTATATTGAATACATGGCAGAATGCACTCTCCAATTACAATTTGCTGGCACTTTGCACCATAATTTATCTTTTGGCTAGAAAATAAACTCCGGCAGCAGATTTGTCTTCCTTTTATGGGGATATATGCAATATCCCTCTTAAATGGAAAATATTTGAACTAAAGCCAATTGATAAAAAAAAATTACTTACACCCAAATTTTATTCTGAATTAGTGAGACCCCTATGGACTAGTGTGAGAAGACAAAAATATCATCAACTACTATAAACCTAAATCTTAATTAATTGTCCCCACCTCTATCACTTTCATCTCCTCTCTTCTCCACCTCTCCACCTAAATCTCTCAACTCTCTCAGAGCTTCATCCACCGTCGATGCCCCCGCCTCCTTCGTCACCACATAAATCAATTTTTCTCTTGTTCGTTATCTCTATCTTGATTTCTCTCTCTATCTCTCTCTCTTTTTCCAAATCTATACACCACCACCCACGTCATCGCCGTCGCCGCCTCCTTCGTCTCCACATAAATCTCTTTCTCTCTTCTTCATTATCTATCTATCTTTCGAGTTATCTCTTTTATTTTACAGATCTGTACACCACTGCCACTGTCGCCGCCTCCCTCACTCTCTCTTTCGTCCACCGCCGCCATCGTCGAATCTCCCTCCCTCTCTTTCGTTATCTTTTCTATCTATCTCTATATGTTTCGATTTCTCTTTTTTTTCCCTCCATATGTGAACACATATTCGAATATGACTATAGTTTCAGATTTGAACAACAAAAATAAAAGTGATTACAATCATATTCGAATACGACTATTGTTAAATATGACTATAGTCATATTCGAATACGTTCTATCTTCTAGTTTTAAGTTGACTTGTACTAACAAGATTCAAATTGTGATTTTTTGTGTGGATGTTGATTGGATTGTTTTCATAACTTATAGGCAATCTTCGTTTTTTATATAATTCGGTAAACATGACAGTACTACAGTACATAATCGGTATTTTTAAGTTAAAAATGTAAAAAACGGCAATATAAAGAAAGAACATGACTACAGTTCTGTAACACCCCGTAATTTATGCTTATGTTATATATACATATACACAAGAGTTTATTATGCTAAAAAATGAGATTTGGGGCTGATGTGTTATTAATAGATGATATTGGGGGATAAGTATAACAATAATTATAAACTTGGCAATCAAGTTTCGACATGGTTTATTAGATAATTGAGAAGGAAGTGTGATTAATTGGAAAATTAGAGAGAAAGCCACGTAGAATAAGTGATGAGTCAGACCTTCACTTCGTCATCTTCATCTAAACGATAGTGTCTTCCACAACTTCACTTATGCCTATAAATTCCCCTTCTCGTCAATAGAATCATCATCCACAATCACATAGAATTCAAAGAAATCAAGAGATTTATCGAAGAAATAATTTGAGAGAGAAATCAAGAAGATTGGAGATAAGCTAGGGTTCGACCAACCGAGGGAAAGATGTTGACTTGATGATCTTCCTGGCGGGTTTCAGCGATCGGATATATCATTCGAAAGCCCTCGATGTAAGCTTCAATTATGTGGTGGTTTCCGGCTGTTGTCTCAAGTTCATACAGTCATATTGGACTCTAGTCATATTCAACTGTAGTCATATTCGGCGTAGTAAACATATCGGGAAAAATATTCAATTTTTTGTTTAAGAAAATAACATAAATATATTTTTATTAAAATATATTGAAAAAGTGAATGCAGTTCGAAATTGATAAAAAGCAATTCCAATTTGATAAATGTAGTCCACATAATCACTGATACAGTAGGTAAATGAGAGGTATTTTTGGTACAAAAAAGTTAGGATGTAACAAATGATGAATTTAGGGTTGGCTTTAGTTCTGTTTCTTAGCGCTATGAGGGGTTTATTGCTAAAGGCCTCTTCTTTTATTTCTTACAAACTTTTTTTTTCTTATTTCTTAGATGAGTACGGGATTAGTATCAACTACAACAATAATTCTTTTTTTTTTTTTTTATAGAGAAAATAGAATTTCCACTAATGAGGTAACTCAATATTTACAATCTCCAAAATAAATTTTGGTAACACACTACCTATATAGGACTCCCTCAAGCAATTTCATGTGCCACACGATTTCCTTCCCTAAGGATAATATGATAAACCTTAATGATATGATCACGCCAACTATATGACGAGACCCGATAACAATACTTCGGTTATCAACTTTTGGACCGTCTAAAAGAATGAATCAAAAGGGGTGGAACCGCGACCCGTTGTCTATAAAGAGACAAGAACCTTGGTATGTGAAAACGCCACAATCAATTGTGGAAGATTGATTGATAAGTCGGGGTGAATGCACGGAATCCTCCGATATGTTCGAAGAGTTCTTAAAGTACTATAGAGAATAATCTCACGATTTAATTAATGATCAAAAGTTGTTTTTCACAATGAATAAGAAGACATATATGTAGCCCCCAAAACTTAGTATTCAAGAAAGGAAAATAAAACCCTAAATCTACTCAATAAAGTCTCTAAACAAGTGAGCCACAAAATTAAAGATGGCCTTAATAGAAAAGGCCCATAAACACACTAATATGAGCTGATTAAGATGAAACCCACGAATTTAAGGTAAGGTGGGCTTTGATCTTCATCCTCCTTGCTCTTATTTGCTCAGCTTGGACTGATCTTTAGCCCGGATGGTTCCCACACTTGTCCGGTAACTTCGCCACTTGAATATGCAGCATTGTTTATCACCATTGAATGGAGATTTTTTAGTTAAGACATTTTGGATCAATACACCAAGCTTCTCCTTGAATTACTTAGCTCGAATCCTCGTTACTGGTCCGATTGGGACTTGGATTGGATCATCTTATCAATTAGTGGTTACATATTTTTGTACTTTTAAAAAAAATGACGGAATTAGTTGTAGTTTTAAAAATTAAAAAAGGAAAAGGAATGAAATTGAAATAGATTAAAAAAAGAAAAATGGAACAATTAGTTGTAGTTATAATGAAGGGGAAATATGCAATACCCCATCATTTAGAAAATATTTACCTAATTGACTTTAAAGATTTTTCTCATAATACAAATCCCAATTTAAATTAGTGAGACCCCCCTTACCAGATATGATAAGACTAAAGTGTCCCTATGTGTTAGGGTTTTAATTCTATTTCCTCTCTCTCTCTCTCTCTCTCTCTCTCTCTCTCTCTCTCTCTCTCTGTGGTTCTCTCTTCTTCTTCTTCTTCTTCTTTTTCTTTTTCTTCTTTTTCTTCTTCTTCTTTATCATATTTATGGATATGTTTGTCTGTGTGTGTGTGTTTCGTATGTGTATGTGAAATACTCTCTCTCTCTCTCTCTCTCTACCTCCTTTCTCTCTTGTGATTTTTTTTTTCCAGATATGTCCACCACCACCACCACCGTAGTTGTCTCCCCACTCTCTCTTTCACTCACCGTCGTTGTCGTCGCCACCCTTCCCTCCCTTTTCTTATTTTCGATTTTTTCTTTTTTTTTTCTCTCCAGATCTGAAGCCGCAGCATCAACGTGACTATAGTCTGGTTCGAATAGGGCTATTGTTGATTCACTCGATTAGTGATTTATTAATTTCTCGTGTTCGTTGTCTCTCTCGATTTCTCTCTCTCTTTACACCACCATCGTCTCCACATAGATTTGTATACCACCACCACCGCCGTCGTTCGTTGCCGCTGTCTCCTTCATTTCCACGTAAGGCTCTTTCTCTTTTTTTTCGTTATCTTTCTCGCTTTCTCAGTTTCCTTTTTTTTCTTTTTTTTTTTTTTTCCAGATTTGTCCACCACCACCGTTGCCGCCTCTTTCACTCTCTTTCCTCCACCATCGCCACCACCGCCGTTGTCGTCGACTCCCCTTCCCGTTATTTTTCTATTTTTATTTATGTATTTTTCGATTTCTCTTATTTTTTCCCATATTTGAAAATACAATTTCAGATCTGAACAGCTGCAGTAACATGACTAAAGTCATATTCGAATATGACTATAGTCATACTTATGTATTTTTCGAATATGACATTGTTGAATATGACTGTAGTCATATTCGAATATGTTCTATCTTCTCGTTTTCAAGTTGACTTCTAATAACTAGATCCAAAT